GCTTTCGTTCTAGACGAACATCTGCCACATCGGCACTTGCTCTGAAAGCTAAAACGCTGCTGAGGTGTCGTTTCCGATGCACCCAGCGAACAAAAGCGTTGTCTTTTTCCTCCTGAAATTCGCCTGCGAATAGGAGGATGGGTATACCCTTCATCGGTGGAACCGGTGCACCCCGTGCTTGCGTGTCAAGTCGAAACTTGTATTGACTCTGAGTCGCCAGGTGAGGTTGCCAGTACCTCTCTCGAAGTACCTGTCGACTCTCCACCTCATCAGAAGATGTTGGCTCAGCGCCAATGGCCCACGTTGCCAAAGAACAGCCTGTCGTTTGGCGTATACGCTCTTCTACATTAACGGTGAGGTGAAAAGATAGCCACGACGACCCTCAAGGGTTGCAGCAAGCTGCATACGGCGCTGAGCGCTACCCTCTCGTTGGATAGCAAACTGTTGGTGCTCATCGAGCGGATTAGTGATGATTTCATCGCCCACGATGGGTGCTTGATGCGGCGACGATGGCGCGTTGGCTTCGTCACGCTCGGCAAATGGGCTCGGTGCAGTATGAGGCGGTGCCTCTTGCACTGGTGATTCGGACATTGTACTCTCTTCACCATGGATATAGGTATCGCTACCATAATACACCTCCACATCGATGCCGAGGTAGGAAGAGAGAGTCGAGGACTCATGGGGTGGCGATGCCATGGTGTTTTGTGTTTTGCCAACCGTAAAGTTGAAGCGCACACACACCGTCCTCTTCGAGGAAAGAATTCGATTGACGTTTTGTGGAAACGTCAGTCTGGTGGGTGAGGGGGTAACGGGGTTACACGTCGACTGGTAGTCGACAATAGGTGTGGTGTACTCAAGGGTGGGATACTCTTTAAAGTAGTATGAGAGCACAGTATCAATTGTTGAAGACTGATGTCTGTCAACCATTGATTACGAGATCTTTTAATAGGTTTATTTAGGACATAAGTGAGTAGGTTATCTACTTTGTTCTACGGTGTTCTTTTAGGTTAAAAGAAGAATAAAATTCAGTTCCCATTTTATCAACATAAGACACGTGCCTTACGAGGCGCCTTGATCGGAAGAGCTAGCAACGCCTGTGAAGGTAGCTGCTCTTGAGCACTATGTGCTGTGAATCTCTTGAATCGTTTGGTACCCCTGGAACAGGGACCGTAAACTCTCTGTGTTGGAAGTGGAGATGTCATAGCGGATACTCCTATCCGGGTCGACGCCCCAGCTGCCAGGTTTGGTAGCTGTAGTGGATTATTGGTGTGGTTACACTAAGTTCTAGAAGGTTCAAAGTCGTGGAGCGCAGGATAGAGCAAGATCTCACTTCTAGATTGATTAAGCCACTGACGAGGCCGTCGGCGGGGGGCCGAAACGCGTCTGGCGCGCGTTTTAATATTGAAGTCATTAACCATACTTTCTCCAATTTCCTACACTCTGAGCTTGTTGACTCTCTGAGTCGAGCTCGTAGAACCAAAGTTGCTCGTAGAGCTTTAACTCTTCCTCTGACCATAAGGAGCTGTGTAGCTCTGCTACACCCTCAATCTCAGCCGCCGCCATTTCAGCAACTCCGCTATTCGGCGATGCAGCATCAGCTGCTGTATGAACAGTCGCAACTTTTATTGCAGCAGTACGGCCAGTCGCATGCGTCGCTTCCGCAGTACGCTCAGGTCCAGTCATTAGTGCAGCATTATGATCAGCTGCATCCCTCAATGCTGATTTCCTGTCCCCGTACGCTTTTTCCTGATGGACAGCACGGTCAGCACCCCCAGCATTCGCCGACCCAAGACAGGACCTTACCATCCTTGCATCATCTCAGTGACTTCTCCCTGCATGTCCCCACCCCTCTTTGAGGCTGGAAATACATGGACAGATGCTCGCGTCGCCCAGGGCTGGAAATTGGGCGCCTGCAGATAATGACAGATACTACGATCCTCGAGGAACCGCATTTCCCCGACGAGCATGCTATCGCAGTATGGAGTAGGAAGGTGCATAGAACAGCATTTTCGTAGTATCTTTAACAGTAGTTCGCTTTGTATAATTCAGGACCACCATATTGAGAATGCTGCAGTTCTGTCCAGATCTACCCACAGCACAGCTGCGCAGTTTGTCATCTAACCCAAAAAGGGGAAACTTTCACCGAATAAGGATCAAATGAGCGATGGGTGCGGCAATTGCGTGCGGGTTGAATTTTCCGTGGGTGCGGGTTAAGCTTTCCCTGACACCGGATGTGTGAAGGAAGGGATGTTCAGTGTACAGTTTGCTTTCAGCGTTGGCTCAACACAACCACCAAAGGTCTTGGGACTTGGGATGTATTCATGATAGGAGAGCGCTCGACCGACACGTCCGACGTCCTGTATAGGCTCACTACCATATCTGTCGATCCCCATCAACTCGGTGCCAAACGCCTTCGTCGACGGTTCCGTAAGTAAAGAAGAAGCCGTCCGACATGATCTGCCACGCTGGACTTCGTAGCCTCTTTGTCCGCATGGCTTGTCACTGCAACGGATACTGCTCGTCAACCAGGTGCACCTGCTCACAAATGGATTGTTGAGGATTGGACGAAGGTGAGTGGTGAGGGAGGGGCGAGCGAGGGAATGCAGAAGTGTGAGGTGGGAATAGAAAACCAGAAAGAACCAGAGAGAACCAGAGAGAGAGAGAACCGGAGAGAGAGAGAACTCACAGACATACGCACTTGAGCTTTGTCGGTCATTGCAGCATCGACCGTCGAGCGCCCTCGCGAGATACAAACGGATTCCCGCAGTGACACCGTCTCGCTCCATTGCCCCCGACCTGTTCCGGCGAGAGACGACCTCATGTTCCGAACTGCTTTTTGTTTTGTGCTCGTTTGCCACGTCCTCTTGGCCACAGTTGAATGTGTCAACGAGTTCGCTTCGTACAACGCGCGAGCCGCTGCGGAAAGCGTGACGCACGCGGACGGGACGACCCGCAGTCTCCAGGCAGCAGAGGCTACAAAGGAGACGTTGCACGACGAACGGGAGGAGCACGAGGAAAGGGCACCGCAGAGCGTGGTTGCCAGTATCGAAGGAGGAGGCCCTGTACTGACGAAAGCTGCGGAAGTAAATGCTGAGGTCGCGGCGGAGGTGGAGAGTTTGGCGAAAGATAAGGGCCTGGTCGACGAGGCAACGATCAATAAGTTCAAGACGGCCGTGTCGGGTGATGACGGCTTTATCAATAAGGTGGCTACAGATGAGCGGGCCAAAAGGCTCATGGCTGACGGACAGACTGCCGAGGTCCCTGCAAAGACTGCGACTGTGGGAACGAGCAAGGACCCGGTGGACGAGATTAAAGCTGATCCAGCGATTGTCAAGCTTAGAGGAAACGGACAGACGTCTGAGATTCCTGCGAAAGCTGAGGTCGAGGCAACGCGGAAGTACCCGGTCCTCGAGCCGAAAGCTGACACTCGGAGTGAATTGGAAAAGTTCGCAGAAGAACTTGCCAGATGGGACAAGGCGATGAAAGAATATACGGCGTCCAGTGTGAAGATCAAGAAGTTGGAAGAGCACAGCATGTTCAAGCACTTTCTACTTACGCAGGCCATTATGCTTTCAATAATCGTGGGCATTGCTGCCATATTTTCCGCTGTTGAATGACGTAACGAGGCAATTGCTGAAGCAAAGTTGTATGCGTAAATACACACACAACGCATTGTGTAAATGTGGTTGGCTGACTGTCTGGTGATGATGATCTTTCGTCTTGGGTTGTCGGGTGTAAGTGTGCGTGTGTTTTTTGTGGTGCAGTCAGTCGTGTCCAGTCGTACGAAAAGTGCGTTGCAAAGTGGAAGGAGCTCGACCCTACGTTTTGTGTGAACGGCCTTTGCATCGCGGTGAGAGACTGTCCGGGCAAAACGAGCAGAAGTTGACGGCAAAGGGAGTGAAAGGCGTCGTTCGGCTCTTCCACATATGTCTCGCACAATCGGGGGGCCCTGCAGTAGTAGACCGACTTCAGGCATGCGTGAAAGACGACATCGTATCGTCAGAAACTGCAGAGCTGCGTTGTCATTGTCGATGCGCATGCGAATTCACTCGATCATCAAACGCTACCGTCTGTCCAGTATGACCGCGGGACTCGTGTTCGTGCTCTTAGGCATCAATCGTCTGGACATCAATCGCAGAGTTCTACCCAACAAAATTATCGCAGTATCAAGTTGTGATGGATTCTTTGCAGCCTGTAAGTCGATGCCGTAACTGCGGAGAAGCAGAGCACAATAGCAACCTCTTGTTCGAAGGTAAGTTGTCATAGCGGACACTCCCTTCCGCGTCGACGCCCCAGCTGCCGGTTTTGGTCGTTATAGTGGATGATTTTGTGTGATTCCACCAAGTTCTAGAAGGTTATCAGTCGCAGAGTGCAGGATAAAGCAAGACCTCACTTCTAGATTGACAAAGCCAGTGACGAGGCCCTTGGCGGGGGGGGGGGCTGATACGCGTCCAACGCGCGTTTTGATTTATAAGTGGATAACCATATGCTTGCTCCATTATCTACACGTCTACCAGCTCTCGCAGGGACTGCGTTGGTACCTTTCAATGCGCTTGGCACTGAGGACGAATGGATGCACTTGGATTGCCCACTAAAATCCAACGAGCAGTATCTGGACATGGTAGCGCTTGCGTAGAGTCCATCCTAACACAGTAAGAACTAAAACGAGTTTTATCACCTCTACATTTTTTGCAATGTTTTAGGACTTCGCGTGAAACTTTGCGCTTCTTTATTTTTCTTTTGATTAGTTTACAAATAGTCAATTACAGCGCGAGAGAAGTAGACTGGGGTTTCTAAATGGACGATGAGTAGTAATTAGCGAAAAGTGAGTAGTATCTGCTGGGCATCGTGTACATGCACTGTCAAGTCATTGTTAACTTAGTCGCCCACTACGCAATGCATATAGCTACGATTACTGGAAAAGCAGAAATCGACCGTCAAGTCTTTACGGGCTCAGTGCATTCACGCAATTGCTTATCTTGACGCAGTAGATCTCTTCTCTATTTACCAAAGTTGAAAGCAAACGCGGCCTTACTTGAGCCCTTAACATCGGTCTCAACATCCAAGTCGCACTCTTCGTCCTCGCAGTCTCCATCTTGTCCACTCGAATCCGTACTATTGCACGAAGTAGCGGCGTCAACATTCACCAGTGCGTTCCAATCACTCGCAACAGCCACAACGCTATCGTTTAACGCTGGCGCAAGCAGTTCGCGATAGTAGGCGTTACTCTCAAACATGCGGTCGTATGCTGAGCTAGAAGCAGGAGCTTCGAGAAACACGAGCCGTATCGCGTGCTCAGCAGCATGGCCGACTGCATCTTGTTGCGCACATGCGGGCGAGCAGTACACATTGGTCTTGCAGACAACGCATCGTCGCAGCCGCTTGCCCTCTGCAGCAGCAGCAGTGCGCGTCTTGCCACATTGAAAACAGCTCATCGCTTTCCAAGCCACATGCTCGACACCTTTTGCTTTGCGGCGCCACACGGTCAGTCCGTACGCAGAGTTGCCCCAGTTCGGCAGCGCAATTTCCTCCACGAGCACAAAGCGGCGCTGCAGTTCGTGTTCGAAGCGACTGTCACCCGTATCCCCCTGCCACTCGCCAACATGCATCACCACGTTCCCTTGAAACAACTGAACACTGCGAACAGCCATGGCATCGCCTGGTGGCGGGTAGCACAAAAACAAACTACGCTTTTCCATATCCTTCTGGCCGAGCACTTCTGGACCAGCACGACCAACGGAGCAGTACTGCGGCACATGACCATGATACACATTCCCACTTGCATTCGCATCACTGGGGGGAGCCTTGTCGTACGCAACAATATCGACGCCACGGCGCTGCAAGAGCGAGCACCAATAGCCAGTGCCAGCACCTATCTCAACAATCGGTGCATACTTCTTCATCACATCCAGCGCTTGCTGCGTTGGAGTCGCATACGCGTACAAGTGACAGCACCAATCACGACAATTATTGCGCCAGTCTGCTAGAAGGGGGAAGCAAGGCATCTCTGCTAATGCAGCCGACACGTTTTGTTCAATGTTAATTCCAGCCCGTGCACCATTTTTCCTCTCACGACGGTAGTTCTTCTTCTGCAGCTTCTTCTTGTTGCTCTTGATTTTCGTACTGGCACTCGAGTCATTGCCTGAAGACGTTGCGAGCACGGCGTCCATTTCGCCATTCATCCCAACACCTTCTTCGTAAAAGAGGTGCACACCTTCACGCAGTCGTGCGTGGTAGATGGCTAACAAAGGGTTGTCACTCTCTTGCTGAGCTAGACGCAGTTTCTTCCGCCCGAGCTCGTCCTTTGACGCTGAGGACGTAAGACCTGGAAGTGCTAGCGCCGCAACTAATCGAGACGGCACACTCGAGTTCACCAGCTCTCGATGCACAAACGTTTCCAATTGCAACGCACTTTCGGGAGTGAACTGCTCGAGGTCTTTCCAGTACACTTCTGGTGAAGGCACTGCACCACACGCACGTCCGTACAATACTAGAGCGACATAGTACGTCTGGAAGTACAGTTGATCCCATTCACACGCCAATGCAATGCGCAATACATCCCACGACGCTGTCCCGACCGCCTGTCGCGCTTTCCGCAACTGTGTCTGCAAGTGCGATAGCAGCTGCCGCTCGTGCTGCACTTCATCAGCTGACTTTTGCCCATTCTGCGATCCGCCAGACGTACATTGTCGCTTGAGGTGTCCGACTACTGCGTCGAGTTGATCGAGAGCGGACGTGGTCCACACGCGACTCTGGAGACAAATCGCACTGATCCGTCCGAAACGGATCACCTGAAACAGCGCCTGCAACAGGCGTTGCGTGCCACTCACTCGGGCTGCAACGCCATCGACCGCGTCTTCCCGTACCTTCACCTCGTGCTGCAACACGCCATGGCGACACTTTTGACACTCGGCCCTCTCGAGCACGTGCTTTGAGGTCCAATGGCTGTCCTCTTCCTTTCGGCTCTGTAGTCCAATGACCTTTGACCCATTCACACACGAACAGCCAGGCACACCACAGGCTCTCAGTGCACAGGCCTCTGGCAGCACATCCGCCACGTGCTCGAGCAGTTGTTTGTGGACAGCGGCCTCGTCGTGCAGCGCGCGCAATGCACTCGCTGTATCAGGCAACGGGCGGTCCTGTAGAGCCGTATGGACAGTGCAACTACGAGTGACGTCACTTGCAACGCTCAGGCGCTGTCGTCGTCGCGACCGCTTGTGCTGTTTGCGCTGCTGCACGTGCTCCGCGACGTCTCGATCCACGCGCAGCCCGTATTCAGCTGCCAGTGCCGCCATTTCATCTTCAATGAACGCGACTTCGCTCGCCTGGAAGCCCACGTGGCCGGCCTTGCGTTTGCTCGGCCGCGTCGGTGCCCCCATTAGCTAAGTCAGTCAGTTGGGCAGTCAGTTAGATAGATAGGCAGTCAGTCAGTCGATGGTATACTTGAAGTTGTCTGTACCAAACGGGTGGTCGCCATGGGGTGTTGTGGGATTGTACCGTAAGTCGGGTACAAGTGGGCGGGACGTGACAACGAGCAAGTTGAGAGCATTGTCTATGATCGCCTCGGAAGATGGTGTGTGTATGTGTACGTGTACGTGTACGTTACATGAATCCACAATTCCCAGAATGACTGATGGGTTTTCGGTTTGAGAGGCTCACTCTTCTTCCCAATTACACACCACATCAATGTCGCTGTAGTGTTATCGCTCAATGCACAAACAGTTGAAAGTCATTCGGGATATGCGGTGTCGTGGGACAATAGCAGGTGCGTTCAACGTGGCATGTGATGGTTCTTTGTGGTCATACTGATTTGCCCGTTCGATTGCCTACATGTGAACTCACTGGCGGTTGCCTGTCTGGGTTCTTTGCGTGGGTGAAAACATCTTTGAAAAAGGTTTGCGATCGATTCTTGGAGTTGTGGGCTGAACATGTGTGACTGTGTGCAGCGCCCACCGTTTTAAACTCGTGGCGAATCAGTGCGCGGTCCTCGCGCACGCACGAGCAGTCGATTGTCAGAGCCACAGGGAAGCAAACAATGCTACAGCTACTCCAGGCGCCGACAGTACGACGCAACAGATGAGCAGTGTGCGTGAAGATGTGGTGGCGATGAAGCATGAGGTGGGGACGACTCGGGAACACATGAGCGCGAATTGCAGCTCACGCGGTAGAAGTGTCGAAGTCGTCGACAGCTCGTCAACGAAGGGATCTAGTCTGATTGATTGACAGATTGGAACGCGAGGTCGAACTCGGGGTGCTGCATGTATAAGTAGAGTCAGTCGAGACGAAGGGACAACTTCAGTTATCGTGGCTTTAAAGCGTGCGGATGAAGCGGATTAGGCCAAAGATGCCACCGCTGGGTGAGTAGAACAAGTTGCTGCGCTTGCAGCTTGAGCGCGCAGCCGCTCGATTGTACTTTCGCGATCAAGTTACCCCAAATTTCATTATACTGCTACTTGTCGGTGAAAACGGATAAGCACATAGCCACCATATACCAGCGACTCTATCTCGAGGCGCGCATCGCAAAGCACATAGCGGGAAGCGATATGGGATTTGCACATGTAGGAGAATACGTATTGATTCGTTGTATTGGACTATACGGGATGCACTACTGCGTGTGGAATCTCAGCTCGTCTAGTAACTTGCATACACGCCGCACTACCGGTAGGCTATCCGCTGCCGACATCTACTAAGTGCTTATGGCGTCGTGGAATAATAGGCATGAGATACATCGTATGTATCGCGGGTTCATCTTGCAATCTCCTGCAAAGTGTGCTTTCGTTCACAGCGGCTGAGCATCCCGTTGCTCTCTCGATGTAGCTTATCAAGGTATGGCCGCGTGTGCGTCACGCGCGATCCCGAGCAATGGCGGCCTAGTGGCTAGTTTCTATCATGCCTTGCGTTTCTCGCTACACACAAGCGCTGCACGTTTGCTGTTCCAGCGTCATCAGGTGATAAGTCTACGCATGCGGCCGTCATGTACCCTCGACATCGAAGGAAGTTACGAGTTTACAATCGGTTCTACTGTATCAGACACCGACCAAGAAGTAAACAACTTCGTCGGACACCGGGATGAATAAGCCATAACGTTGACAATGGAAGAACGATGACTGTGGTCATGTCGACTACTTTCCTTCTCTCGTCGTGTCATTGATACTAACACCAGTGTTGTCACTAGAGATGCAGCAACTTGGTCGTTGTTCTGCCCAAGGCTAACCGTGCAGCAGGTCAACGATACCACACAGCGTCTGGCAAACACTTCATTACTTTAGAACCAGCCAGACACCCGAAACTTGGCAGTCATCTTGAGGTGCCACGCGCTTGATTGGTATCGTATTCCGTCAGTACTGACTTCAATCGAAATGCACCAATGCTGTGGCAACGGACCTGCTACAGAAAAGTGCGCCATGTTTCGTTTCGGCAGTAGCTTCCCGCGCCAGCGCCTACTGTGTCCCCATTGCGAGAAAGTTCTGGAACCACTTGATTGCTGCCATGCACGACAATGGATTGTAGCACCCATCGATTTCACCGCCTCCGACAAGGGGGTTCGTTCGACACACACAACAACAACCCGTCGGCTTGCACCCCGTTTGCTACGAGCCTGTCGAACAGCCTACCTGCTCATGCGCAACATAAGCTCGCCGCCCCTTGTCGCTCGAGCACTCCGTTGTGGCATACTCTGCCTCCACCGCCGCACTTACCATTTGACTGGCAGCAACAGCTCCGCCTGAGTGGAAAGAGCTCTACTCGTTTCGACCATTCGAGTTGCGGGACCGAATCAATGGGTCTGACCGCTCCGGACGCAGTGGCGGCCGAGGGCCCCATCAAGTACCACCTCGTGGAAGCCGAAGAGGTGGGCCACAAACCACACGGAGCTACTGCCACTGCACGCACGGCAAAGCCCAAGCGCAAGAGCAAATTCAATTGGTCGCAGGTTCCTGTAGAGGGGGACGAGATTGCGACTATTGAAAAAAGACAAGAGAGTGGCCGCAGTAGTGTCCATAAGGACGACACGCAGTCGGATGGACGGCCACGGGGTCGACACGACGACCCGCAACAGAGTCGTAGTGGTGGGGGTGGGGATCCCCGCACTGGCGGACGCTATGGCGGACGTCGACAGCACGGAGACAGTCACGGCTCGTTTTACAATGGCGTGTACGTCCCCACGCCGGACGTGACTGTGACAGCGCACTGGGCCAAGGACCAAATGTACGTATCGGTGCCGATTGGCCACTGCGTCGTGCTTTCGGTTTGGTTTTTTGTTATGGTTGTCAAGGATGACATGGCCTGACGTTGCAATGCTTGCAATTTGGCTGTAGTGAGTTTTACTTCACGTGCGACAACTTGGTGCGCGACATTTTTTTGCGTCAGCACATGGACGTCGATGGGTACGTCCCTTTGGCTTTCGTGGGCAGTTTCCAGGCTGTCTACTCGATTCACCAGGACTACGAGTCGCTCTTGGAGGCCATGAAACACTCAAAGACTATTGAGCTTGACGAGCAGAATGAAAAGATCCGTCTACGTACAGGCTGGGAGAAGTGGGTCTGGCCCAACACGAACGGTGGCTACGGCGTGCCCCGGTACGTGAAACAAAAGACGGACGAGGCGGTGGCGGCCTAGATAGCTTACCAAACATGGACGCCAGCAAAGCAAAAGGCGAGGTGGTTGGTGGAGCACAGCGAGTGGCAAGCGCAGCGAAGAAGACGTAGGAAGACATCGACCGACCGCCTGCGGTTGTAGTTATATATCGTTTTGCCCCTACCGTCGGCGAGAGGTGATCCACGGAAGTAGACGACCTCGTAGTGATGCAAATATACATAAGCAGAAACCAATAACAAACGAGTGAATGTGTGAAGGTGTTGGGTCGGTGGATATGTCGCAAACGCAATGCACTGCAACAGTTGTAGAGATCGGTATGGAGACCGCATGGAATCGAGTGATTGTGGCACCTGAACATCGTGATTCCAGTAGCTTACCCAAAGTGCTTTTCCGGTTAGGGCACGCGTTCACTCTTTCCAGGTTACGTTGTAAACAAGCACAGCTATGGAACGTAGTGCCGCTACACACTGTTGTTCTGGTCGTGCCGCTCGCCAAATTGGATTGATGACAAATGTTTGCCGAAAGATGTACGACGAGTGGCTATTCATGAGGTGACTCTGTGGGCCAAGAACATAGTGTTGGCTTAGTAGGAAACCCCTCGTTCTTTCGATCGAGTATCGCACCCGTAGCTTCGGTTTCCATTACTCTCTTACGGCCTGCTGAAAGATGAAAGGACTGTGAACGTGACCAAAGCACCTTGAGCGAATGTTTGTCCAGCAACAGGTAAGGAAAGTGCCCATGGACGATTACGTTTTTGGGAAGGAGGCGTTACATGGCCCGCAACGATGGAAACGGCACATTGCATGGAGTTCCATCGTCGAATAGAACAGATGACAATAGTAACAGTGTACCTAGAGACGGGTTGCCATGAACGGTGAGCTTGTTCCACAACAGGTGAGTGCTTGATGGGCAGCTTATATCTGCAGTATCCAGGTGTCTCCAATGAGGCACCGACCGGTCTCAACGCCATCCTCGTACGCTGGTGCGGATGACACACGGGCCAATGTTGACCTGGAGTCAGGGTCTGCTTCCTCATTTGTACCTGAAGCTTTTTCATTCGACTCGCTGCGTATGCGTTGCTTCAATCGACACCCCACATGACCCTGTGCGTTTGCAGAGGAGGTCGACCTTGAGCTATACTGGCTGGCTTGTGTGGCGCCTTACTTTCAAGATTGCAGACCAAAGCGACGGCAAGCGACGCTAACGTGTCATCTAGGTTAGATGGCATACCCAGCTCGACGGCACCGTAGCGTTACGGGATACTTCTTCAGCTTACTGGCCATAGCAGGTCACATCTTTTTGCAGGCAGTGGTCGACACGGCGCTTTCGCTGTTTACTTCTGATGACAACAAAGTCGTCGACACATTTCGTCGAGCGTGGAGAGTAGCAGAACATAACGTCGATAGAAGCACGCACCACATTGCAAAAGACAACGTAAACCAGCAACGAGTTCATCGGCGTTGGTGCGCTTGTCCAGCACAAAAGGGTCTTGTCGTATAACCACTTGTTGCTCCCAATCGACTTTTCCTCACTCGACGTCGCGCTTCCCATCCCACCTTTTGCTACGCTACACCGGTCAATCGATATCTATTCAATAGACGTGCACGACGATCACCTCTCAGTTCTGGGCTCGTCCCCAGAATTAAGAGGTGCTCATCGTGCACGTCCTGTCCTGCTGCTGCTGCTACTCTAGTTTTCCACATTGGTGGTACTAAAACGAACGTCCGATGTCAGCTGTCACGTACGTCTCCTTTGCAACAGCAGGTGCCTTACAAGGCTCGAATACCATCTAGAAACCCGACCGAACCCAGTTGCAAGATGCGAGCAAAACACCCCATGCTCACCACGCACTCCGTCACGCGCCACCCTCATTTACACCGCTTCACTGCTAATACCACGTCGACACCGTCGTCCGTCCCCTAATTCGCCGTCTTTTCGCCACTCCACCGCCCTCGCGCTCCTGGCCAGTCATTTCGACTCGCCATGGTCTCCTTCCGCCCGTCGTCGTCGTCGTTTGTCGCGCGCGTCCTGTGCCGCCGCTCCTCGTCTGCTGCCAGTCCCCACCTCAAGAAGACGTCTCTGTATGACCTGCACGTGTCGCTCGGTGGCAAGATGGTCCCGTTTGCCGGCTACGCCATGCCCGTGCAATACAAAGCCGGCGTCTTGCAGTCCCACCTCCATACGCGGGAACAAGGCCACGCGTCGCTCTTTGACGTCTCGCACATGGGTCAGCTGCGGGTGACGGGCACAGACCGTCTCGCGTTCCTCGAGAGTGTCGTCGTGGGCGACTTAGAGGCACTTCACACTGGCGAAGCGAAGCTCAGTCTCTTGACAAACGATCGCGGCGGTATCATTGATGACTGCGTCATTAGTCGCTACGACGACCACATGTACGTGGTCGTGAACGCCGGCAATCGGGACGTGGATCTCGTGCATCTGCACCGTCACCTCGAGACCTTCCAGGGCGATGCAACGATCGAGTGCCTCGACGACCACTCGTTGGTAGCTCTGCAAGGCCCGGGTGCAGCCGACGTGGTCGAGAGGCTGAAGCCCACGTTGCAGCTGCCAGACCTCGAGTTCATGCACGGGGCGTGTACGCCACTGACGCTGCCAGACGGGAACCAAGTGGACGTCGTGTTGACACGATGTGGGTACACTGGCGAAGACGGGTTTGAGATTTCCGTGCCGAACAAGGACGTGCACGCCCTTGCACGTGCGTTGCTCCACGACGAGCGGGTGCTGGAAGCAGGTCTTGGAGCTCGCGACAGTCTACGTCTCGAGGCGGGCTTGTGTCTCCACGGACATGACATTACGGCTGAGACGACGCCGATTGAAGCAATGCTGGCTTGGACGATTGGAAAGCGTCGACGAGAGCAAGGAGGGTTCCCTGGACACGCAGTCATTATGGACCAGTTGACGAACAAGACAGCCACGAAGAAGCGCGTTGGCTTTGTCGTGGAAGGAGCCGCCGCGCGCGAGGGGGCGGAGCTCTTTGACGCTGACGACAAGGTCGTGGGTCGTGTTACGAGCGGTATGTTTAGTCCCTCGCTGAAGAAAGCCATTGGTATGGCTTACGTGGACAAGAGCTCGGGCAAGCTGGGCACGGAGCTGCATGTCAAGGCCCGCAACAAAGTGCAGAAGGCTGTCATCACCAAGATGCCTTTTGTGCCGTCCAACTACTACAAGAAGGAGTAGGTCGTCTGGGCACGGCCATGACGCAATAGTGCCGCTCGGCTTGGGTTCTGTGCAGGTTACGAGCATAGCAAACAAGTAAGTGCTGGGCACATTACGCAGTGCTCTTTGTTCCTTTCGCATCTCTCATGTGCTTCGTATCTCTGCTCGTGCACTGGAGATCAACTAAATATCGTGTATTACCACGTCGCACAGCACTCGACTCGCTACAGCAGGTAAGCCGAGCTGCAAGAACGGTTCTACTACTTCTACTACTACTACTACTGCTCCTTCCAGCCAGCTTGTTACAGCAAAATATACTTGAGACTAAGCTGTTTGCATCCTCGCGTGAGGGCCGACTCGGCCGTCCGCCCTTGCGGGTCCAGTCCCAACTCGGAAAAGGGCGAAATGAGCATGCCGTCCAGCAACGTAGCCACGTCCTCGGCAACGCCCAACAATTGCGAAAACGCCCCTGCAAAGTCAATGTGTTGATCCAGCTTGGTCACTTTTGCATTGGCGTCAAAGTAGAACGTCACGGTGAACTCCGGCTCGATCGTCTGCCCCACCACACGCTGCGCGAGCTGATCGTGATGCTGCAGGATATGTGGGTACACGAGCATGAGCGTATCCCGCGACAGCCGCAGCTTCACTCTCCCTCGCGCTTGGACAATCCACAGGGCCTCGTGCTTTGTACTTTGTTTCGTCGCTTGCGAAGGCGCAACAAGCACACGCACGTCCTGCGGCCGCATGTCAAACGTCCCGTGGTACGACGTGTAGCGCTTGAGCTGCAGCAACAGCGCGTCAATGCCATCCGCCGTCGCGCCGTGAGCAATCAAATCGGGGGCACACACCAAGCGCACGAAACTCTCTTGCAACGCGCTCGACTCGGTCGAGTGCAGTGCAAAACCTGCGCGAAACGTCCGCAAGTAGTACTTGGCAACAAGCACCGGCCGCTCTTCGTCAAAGCCCGCGACAAAGTTGCGCTCGTGCATCAAGTAGCTCGTCAAAAAGTCCCGGTAGTCACACAGGTCCTGCAAGTACCCGTTCAGTCCACCCGTCTCGAGCGACAGCGTGCTAATGATACCCCGTTGCCTGGCGCGATAGCGACGCTGGTTCAAGCGACACTGCGCTTTCCGTCGCGCTTTCCGCTGCTCGTCGTCGTGCAAGAGACGGCGACGACCGCGTCGCGGCTTGTCGGGGCAGCAGGTATAGTGGTTGCCGCTTGTCGTTGTGGCGCGGGTAGTCACAGCAGGCGCCGCCGTCGTCGTCGTCCGGGTAGTCACAGACGGACGACGTTTCTTGGCCGACGTGATCATGCGATGCGTCCGAGCAGTGGCACGGAACGTGATGGGGCGGGCACAAGGCGGGGCGACACCTTCGAGTGGCCGCGTCGTGTCCGATTGGTGGAGCGCAGTCGTGCGAGTGCGTGGCGACACGTTCATGCCACTCCTTCTCGTAGGCGGTGGCGACACACGTTCAGTGGCTGAAGCGGTCACGTCCGGTCCAGTCCGGTCGTTCGGTAGGTAAGTCGTTCGTTAGTTAGTTAGTTAGTCACGTGGGAGTTTCTTTGTGACGACATGTCCACACGCACGAGTGGGTGTGGGTGTCTTTCTGTGTGTGTGTGTGTGTATACAGCCCGTTGAGCTGCAAGAGACGGGACACTGGTCGGTCGAGCGAGCAGCTGGATCAGGGTCAAGGTGCAAGAGACAGAACATTGCGCGACAAGCGACGGGACAGCGCGCCAGTTCTTATCGCTCGGCCGTCTCTTCTGTCGCAGACGACGGCAGGCTTTTTTCTGTCAGTCAGTCGGTCGGTCGGTCGGTTGGTCGGCTGGCCTGTCTGCCTGCCCTTGCTCTTGTCGCGCTGATGAGTTTGTCTTATTGGAAGCGAAAGCGCATCGGCTTGCGGTGATCATGGGCCTGAGCATCTAATTGACAGGGCACGTGGGGTGCTGAGGTAGATTTCGGACCTGCCACAACTTGCGTGGAACGCGTATTGCCACACGTGGGGAAACGATGAGGGCAGACGAAGCTCGGGATCGACAAGGACATTGGACGTTTACGTCACAGTTTTCGGTGAGGATGGCTGGTTGACCAGCACTGGGAGAGAGCGCCTTCTTTGATGGGGACATGAACCCGGGTAATGGGTTCCAGAAGGACAGAAACGAGGGAAACGTGCATGTTTTACCGCGTTTTTTTTTCATTTCTCATATGTTACATGTACCCGAAGCGTCTGCTTAAACTGGGCAGCTCCATTGGACTGAGTGCATTTTACCGTCCGTCCTTTCGCCTCGTCGTCTATGCCAGAAGCTGCGGGCTCTTTAGCAAGGGGGCATTCCTACGGATGCCGAGTTGACCAGCAAATCAGTCAACCCCTGTGCCACGTTTTTGGCTGGTGCACATGGCGTAGCATCAAGTTGGCGCCTTTTTTGCACAGTCCATATTGGAAGTCACCGCTGAGTTTGTCGTGACGTTGTCTCGTGATGATGGCTGGTCGGCGTCATCATCGTCTGCCTCGCCGAAAACGGATCCGCATTAGTCTAACCGACCGCGCGAACGTGGACGTTGGCATGGGAAAGTGTACCCGGTTGGTCGCGCTGGTGTCTGGACGACGTAACGGACAACGGTGTGGCCGTTGTGTCTCGCACGTCGACAGGAGTCGTCCATGAAGCAAGTCGGCGCGCTGGGAAGGACGTTTTCGGTAACTGTCGCAGCGCCATGTCCTGTGCTGCACGAATGGCATTTCTCTCGTTTGCATGCGAAAATCAAAGACGCGCTTCTCGGTATTACGGTGCGACGGGCGATGCCCATCCGAATAAGTTACGGTCATTCTTTCGGGCCTCGTGGTTGCGTGATCGCGTGCAGCGCATCAGAGCGTGAAAATAGGGGGCAAAGTAGAGCAAGTATCTAGCAAACGTGAGTATGCAAGTATCTAGCAAACGTGAGTATGCAAGTATCTAGCACAGTTACACACTCATACAGATCCTTGTTCTTCTCTTCTTTACGTGAAGACGACTTCTCGCAGCCCATAGCGAAGTCTGCATTATCACACAATCAAACCATCTGGGTTCCAAGATGCTTCCGGTAAACAAGAGCGATGGGCACAATGGTCGAGCGTTTACGGTTGCACACAGATCCGGCGTCAGCGTTGCTGGCTCTGCAAAGCACATGTCGCCGGCTGGATGGCGTGTGGCAAGAGACGCGCATGCTGACACTCTGCATGTGTTGTATCAATCCGTCTTTCATTCGGGTCGAGAGGCAACTGAGTGCCAGTCACGAGCGGGTTCAGCTAGCCATGTGCTACGCAGCATGAGCAAAGCAAAACAAAGGGCAAGGACCTCTTGACTTAGCTTCGCGTTGAGTAAACGGTCGACGCCACAGTGCTCCTTATCCTGGATATCGTCTCCTGGTACCATTGCAACCACGTCACGGCATGAGGTTAAAGCATCCAGCAAATCGGCGTCCTCCTCTCACAAGCTCAGTCATTGCAACGTCAACTGAAGTGCTGTGGATGTGAGAGCTCAGCTATCAGGTAGACAGTGACACGGCTTGGTCGAGACATTGAGTGCATCGTCGTTGCAAGGCTGCGAGCGAATATCTCACATACGCCCAAAGAATAATGTCCAGTGGCAGACCCATCGCTTTGCTTCCATGCTGTACGATTTTGTCGCTAGATTCTTACAAGGTGCGCCCTATGAGGTATGGGATACAGTGCTGTGTGTCGTGTCTCGCACCACTTCCATTGCTTTCATGCGTACTAGCAATGTGAACAAGACGGTAAGAGCTAAGCCGGTAAGCCCCAGCCAGTCGCTATTGTCAGGCAGCTTTAGTCGATGTGGTCACCTTCTTTTCTACTATTCATCGTTCACGACTTCAAACGGTTCAATTGGAGCACACAAAGTGATCGCTTCCTGGGCCCAACTTCACGCAGCGTGGCTTGCAGTCAACCTATTTATAAGTGCTTTTTTTACGTGATAGAGGGGGGCACTCATGTCAGCAGATCTGGCGAGTGTGCACAGTGCCAGTGGGCTGTCACGTTTGAACGCTTCGACTGTCTTAATCTAGATCGAGCTACATACCCCAGAGGATCTGATGAGTCCATTCCGAACAAACATTCTACTTTACAGAAGTCGTATTTTTGTCAAGCGTATATTTATAAGTCACGCTATTTTTGATAATTTATAATTACGCTCGACACGAATACGGCATCTCTGATGCGATTCGTTTCTACACCACTTCGCCGGCCATCCGTTGCGTTCCCCGCCGCCCTCAGCTCGTTGAATGTGCTGTCTGCACGTTGTTGTCGCTCGTCCAGCGCAGTGAAAGGCCCACTGACGTCAAACCAGCGCGTCGATGTTGAACTAAAGGCGAGCGACCTGGACGAGTCGTTCGTCAAAGGTTCCGGTACGAAACCGGTATATACCGCTCGGTCTTGTTTGGAGCTGTTTTCGCGATCTAGTAGTAGGAGGAACAAATCTGGCACTGACAAATCTGGAGCTGACAAATCTGGCACTGACAAATCTGGAACTGTCTTCTATGAATAGGCAAGGGGGGCCAGAAGATCAATAAGGTGCGCAACTGCGTGCTCTTGACGCACTTGCCAACGGGTTTGCAGGTGCGCACGCAAAAGACACGATCACTAGCGGACAACCGTCGCGTTGCTCGTCAATTGCTACTGCAGAAACTGGACGATCACGTCAACGGGTCGTTAAGTAAACACAATGAAAACATTGCACAATTGCGTCGGAAAAAGGCGAATCGACGAGCTAAGGCCAAGCAAAAATACGCCACTGCAACAACTGAAGGCGATGAGCAGGACATCGGAGACGACGCAGGAGAAGACAACAGCGACAGTGAGGACGAGTGCATTGAGTTAATCGAGAGTGCTGATATTGACAGTAAGGAGGGAGTGCAAGGAACAAAGCGTCGAAACGAAGCATAGCAATCGAGTTACCAGAGTTTACACAGTGACAGAATGCCGCGACTGCTTTGACGCGGAGAGGTGACCAGTGGATCAACGTTAGTATTGCTCCACGGATACGTACTACTGCAAGCTGTCCACTTTCTGTCTTCTACTCTACGCTACTTTTCTATCTTTTTCGGGCTGCGAGCAACAAACACTTGCAACGTGGAATCGCACAGCACGCACGTCAGCGTTAGCACTCGAGTGCAACAGGGATTCGCTACTAGAGCTGTTAGTCGGTGTATGCTATTGTTGATGACGGTACATGTGATGTGCCAAACAATGTCGTACAAACACGTTGTTTTCTTGACATCGAATGGTCGAGTGCACGACGTTTTGAGACGGATCACTAAACATGAAACCAATTCGCCTCGAACAGCGCGCAAACACGACCTGCACAGTATGACGATGGCAAGACAAGCATTGACACCGAAGCTTATCAGAGTGTGAGCCCCATTTCTGTCAACTTTGCGTTGCACTGTGGTCGACAATGCAAAAAGCCTGGATGAGAAAGTCAGCTGACTTTGGTGCGAATTGCAAACCACGTTTGCCCATCGGCATGACCCGTAGATAGTCAGAGTAGGGACAGCAATAAGAGGACACCTTGTGATGAACGTTGCGACATTGGCTGTAGTCAGATAACGATGGAAGAATGGACAGTCCCAGGCACTGTACTGTCGATGCGAGGATGTCGCGTTTGCCGTGACAGGATACTGACGGTGCCGTAGTAGGCAGTGAGCTCATCATGCCTACAACAAGAGTCTCTCACAGCACCACACTAGTTGCAAAGTTCAAAGTGATAGTACAGGAGGTGACGATAGAAGACGCATTAGCTTGGCTTGGATCATTCTAGTTGATGAGCTAAACGGCTTATGAAACGCATCAGACTGGTCGCTTTTAGTGCAGTCATGGATCAAACCCGCAACTTGGGGGGAATGGGAGAAGTAGACTGAGTATCGATCGTGTATCATTTGTGGCTTCGCTTGATAAATGGTCTGCCATGCACAACCTTTCTCTCATCCGTACCGATACAACCCGGTGGTACGACTGACGAAGTCCCCGTGCTACGAAGTTACTGCCGCTCGATATTGGCGCTTCGACGGTCTGCTCTGTTGATGCTTCATCTCGCATCATACACGATACTGTGTCTGCAGATGCTCGAGAATATCGGTGACGAAGAACTTGCTGATATCGATGATAAGTCTCTTGACGATGTATTCATCATTGTGGCCCGTCTCCGTGACGTCGCGCGGTTTGCTAAATGCATGTTCAAGCGAGCCATTGATATAGCAAGGCTCTCGCTAAGTCCCATTGGAGCCATGATGCAGTCAACAAATCGTCTTCCTCTCTCACATGAGGAGCAAGCGTGATAGTGTATTCCAACTTGACCGGTCCTCTTTTCACTGCAACTGCATGCATGAGATTCAGTAGCACCCTGTCATGACATCACATTCACCGTTTTTCGTAGCAGCGATACCGCGGGTGATAAGCTCGATCGTTGAATTGGCGAAGGCCGTGGACAAAATCTGCCAGGTCCGACAGGTTTCTTCACACAAAACGTCGGTACTGAGAATGGTGCGTGTTGTTGGGGGAACATTGCCAGTCTTTATCATTTCTGCGTTTACTCTATGGTGACAGACTCACTACCTCGATTGAGCGCAAACAAGTATGTGGACAAGCTCGAGTTTCGATGACTCGATCACTGTCGTTGCGAACGGTGGCATCGGACTCAGTGATTCAGTCAAACAAAGCACCACGAAGCTCCTACAGCACACCCGATGTAGTATTGCCCTTCCCAGCGTCCCATTCTAGCTGCGTCAGTATTTCAGACTTCTGTATCTTCATATGCATGCGAAACAGTTGTGTCTTCGCGTAATTCGTCGGCGTACTGCTTCTCGGAGATGAAGTGTGTGCGAGTGAACGTGCTGTCAATAGAGAATATAAACTTCACGCTTTTGACGTCGTCCGACACGGCGACCACACGCTACGAAGCGAGTAGGATATGCTGTTGGCGTCTTTGTAATACGTAACGTTCTGTGTGCGACTCCAAATGCGGCGATGGCGCTATGTTCTCCACTCTGTTTCGGTGTTCGGATCATGTAGCGATGTCATACCAACAATAACGCATTTGTCATTCGGTATCGGCACCACCTGGAAGTTGGACGCCACTGCAGGACATCCAGACACTACCAACGTCATTGATGCTGTCCAAATGCACGACATGTCCGATGGACTCTCTGTCCATCCTAAGATCGACTCCGATCTTGTCGTTCCCATCTACTTGCACTATTAAGTCTAGCAAATCAGCTAAACTCACGGAGATGCCGCTACTGTGGTGATGAAGTCGGACGTATTCTTCTGCACTGCTGGCTCGCGGCAACCAAGCCTTGATCTTCAAGAATGTAGACTATCACCGAAGACGCCAGTGGCATGAGTGATGGCCTCTTTCTTCGAACAACCTGACGTATCCTTCTGCTTGTAATTGCAGCAATCGCTACCTCCTTCCGGCCATTATTATCGTCCAGAACATCCTTCCTCTGCGAGAGCTCGTTGAAGCATGATGCCAGAGTGTACAATCTCGAGATTAGAGCGATCTGGGTTGTCCCATCGATAGTACGCAGACTTTTACGTTGTTCCTAGCTGATGTCTCATTGCGTAATATGTGGTCGATACAAACACTTGTCAAGTAACGCAATGGGTGACTTTGCTTGTGGACACCAGCCCCGGCATCAGAGAGACACATGATATGATCAATCACTTTGCTTTAGCTCGAACACTCTATCTCGAGAGTTGTGCATAAGATTTTCGGAGACCAAAGTACTCATCTATCATTGTGTGAGGCGTATTCACGCTTTGATCACAGCTGCAGCCTCCTCTACGCCGTGATAACAGCACAACACAAATGTTGCTTAGTTTTTTTGCCGATTTATTCGAGACAACCGCAAAAACTGACGAATCGGCTCCTATGAGATGACGCTGTGCTGCTATACAACGCACCGCTGTCAAAAAGGTTAGCATCTCCAGGCTTCCTGATAGCGTGTCTTCACCTTGCCAGTGTATCTCGTTCTCATGTACCATCAGCCGCTCGTGAAAGTGCGTTCCGCACTTGACGGTACTTAGTGTGCCTGTTGTATGTAGGCTCGCATGTGTGCTTGCGTTGTTTGGATTGACTGATGTATCCTCATCACCAAGTTCTGTCGTGAGTTCGTATCCATTGGGAGTGATCCTGGCGAAACCCCACGACCAGGAAATTGCTCCTGGTACTCATTGGTATGGCTGACATGATGTATGAGCAGCGTGCGTGGCAGATGAAGCAGATTCTTCTCCTCTGTATTTTTCTTGCTGAGCTACGGACCGTGTACGTTGCGTGCGTGAAGTCGAGCATGACTGCTTGGCGAGCCATAGGTCATCCATTTGACCATGTTGTCGCGGTCAGATACAAGACGGATGTTGCTGAACTTTCCACGCTCAACGATGAAACATAAAGTTCGGACTTTGCAGTGTGATCACAAAACGTGCCACGTTTGCGCTACAAGAGCTATAAAACGATGCAACCCAACAGGTAGAACGGTAAGCCAAACGCTTGCAGTAGGATGATGCCATACTGCTCATTTTATTCATGGGTAAAGTAGCAATCCTTGGCAGCACATACAACTGCTACATCGTGTGCAGCATGATGTGACTGATTTGTTGATGAGCTGCAGCAAGTCGCACGCATCATTGATCTTGATCGAGTCACGTCGACTGGCTTACAATGCCACCGGCCGTCCCCCACTCGTACATCGACTATGTCGTTTACGCTGTGGATAGGAACGGGCACTGCGCCGTCATCATTAAAAGGTTGCGCCTCATGTTGTGCATCATACTGCATGGCTGGAGAACGTTGGCACATTGCATACACTACAGGAGAATGCAAGATTTAGCTGGAACGTCATCTGATCGATTAGCAACACGGCACGACGTAGCGTCAACAAGGTACAAGAATCGACACGAGACAATGTGGACATGCTGGTAACTTGACAAGTTGGGTGCCGTATCGATACTATGCATATACCAATTTGCTGCTACAACACCTTTCGTGCACTTGGCCTGTGAGGGGTTTGCATCGAACTCCAGTTTATCATTCCTTTCACATACCTAATTTGATGTATTTTTTTATCAAATCTAATATACGCAACTGCGGGCTGCAAGTGTACAACGTACAGCAGTATGATTGTTGCGACATCACATCTTATGCACATGCGTAGTGCACACGCTTGCAAACGTACACGACTTCATTTTTGTACAGACAAAAGCACCACCGTAGCTCTGTGCCACGACTACGGCAAACTCACTTCACCTTCGCATGAATGCAGAAGTTGTCGTAATTTCTGTTACGTTATTGTAAATTGAACTGACGCACGTCTCCATAAAGTATTGGTTGGTGGCCTGTGCAAAACGCTGGGCCCTCAGCATAGTAAACGCTAGAGTCACCGTCGATACATGCAGGACTATGCTTGATTTTACTACCGGCAAAAGGCTGAGCCAGCGCGGGCGTTCGACATCGTGTCCACGTTATCTATCTAGGGCCACATTGAGTCGCAAATCAGCTTCGACCGATACGAGAAGTAATTACATAGATCATTGATGACAGTGGGAACATATCGACGAAGCTGTTGATCACCTTTGAACTTCTGTATGCTATTCGGATGTAATACACATTACGCTGCGATCCTGAGCAGCGGTGGATGGCTCGTAATGAGTAGTTGGCTCGACCTGATGCACAATAAAGCGTCATTGAATGGTGCCTCATGGAACGCATGGTAATTACACATGAGAGTTTGGGGGAGACACGATAGCAACACACTGGTAGCCGTGGCAATGTCCGTGTCAAAGTGCGGAGTCAAGATGAAGCAAGGAGCTTCAGGGCCACTGGACTTCTAAACAAGTCGATTGCGCATGTTCCTTACCGACATACACAACGGTCCACAAGCGATGGTCAGAACGCAATGCGCGTCACAACACAAAGACGGATCTGTAGAGGCGATCCAGAGTCCATCCTCGATGTACCAGAAGCCATACCGCTTGACGTCATCATCAAGCGCATATTGATGGAGAAATGTCATGAGGGAATGGGCAGCTGTGCGCACACCACAACTTGATAGTAGCAACCCAGCTCTAACAACGAATTGTTATAGCAACCCAAGCGTTATGGCATATTCAGCAACACAACGTGTACGGCGCTCGCCAGTTTCCCAACAAAGCTAGGCAGCAGCCTTGCGTCACATATACGAACGTTTGATGTGCACAAGTAAGCTTATCACAAGTTGGATGACATGCAATCGATCCATTGTAGCAGTGAGCTCTACACGCTCAATTGCATCGATATATTGGGATCTCGAGGGAATAGCACACATCAACAAAACTACAACATGTCTGCAAGGCGACGGTCTTTCTTTCCATTACGGACGGGCACTCCGATCACCCATTTGCGGTCACCACAAAGCCTTCACGTCCAACATGTCATACACAATGTAATAACGTGTGAAAGCGCTCGAAACACTGAGAAGCACGCGCAACATTGATGAAAGTCGTCGACATGGGCTCAGAGCGTTGATCCGCTTTAGTTTTACTGCTACAAGCTACAAAAAAATCACGACATGTACGTAGCAATTTACAAAAGACCGAATAAAAAAAACCTGAGTACCACCACCACCAGCAATACCACCAATAACAAGATACAAAAAGTCTCCTCTCATTATTTCTTCGTTCAATGCCGCTTTTCCTATAAACCGATTCGGGCCATACCGGTACTACCTCTCTCGGTCGGTCGTCCTGCGCCTGCTTCAGCAACCTTCGCGCAACACACGCTCCACCTCCATCCCACCCCGACGCACGACAACATGCGTGCAGCGTGTTTCGCCTCCCACGCCCTATCGCGACGCGTCTACACGTCCACGATCGATCCACGGACGTACGTAGCCATTGCGTCCATGTCCACTGCCGCCACAGCGTCTGCCCAACGACGCACAAAGCCCCGGAAGAAGCAGTCGCGCGTGGCGCAGGTGCCGGTCTTTTGGCCAATCACAGGCGTCTCGGAGCCGCCGCTTCTACGTCCGCACGAGATCGATCGCGTAAACCGGCTGTTTCGCGTAGAAAGTACAGTCATCACCACAACGTCGGACCCGACCGAGTTGCCCCAGTGGGACGTGCCGGAGATCGCCTTTGCCGGTCGCTCGAACGCTGGCAAATCGTCGCTCATCAACGCGCTGTGTGGCCAAAAAGCGCTCGCGCGGACGTCGAAAGTGCCGGGACGGACGCAGCAGCTGCACTTTGTCAGTGTTGGCGGCAAAAAGGGCAGTTTGCCCGACTTGTCGCTGGTCGATATGCCAGGGTTTGGGTTTGCCACGGCGCCGAAACAAGTGGTGGACCAATGGCACGCGCTCGTGGGCGGCTACGTGGACAAGAGACGGGGCACCACCCTCAAGACCATTATGCTGTTGATTGATGCCCGCCGCGGGTTGGGCACGGCCGACCACGAGTTTATGGACTTTCTGCACGACTTGGGCGCGCTGTACCAGGTGGTGTTTACCAAAGCAGACGCAGTGACTCGACCGGCGCTCGAGACGCAGATTCAAAAGGCAATGGACGTGGCGTTGAGTGCAGAGCGGATGGTAAGGAAACGGTGGACGATATTGGCAGTGCTGTTGATGTGATAAAAGCTGCTGTTGTTGTTGTTGTTGTTGCTGCTGCTGCTGTTGTTGCTGTTGTTGTTGTTGTTGTTGTTGTTGTTGTTTGTAAGAGAGGAGAGACTGATGGTATGGGTGTTGTGTGGGTGTTGTGTTTTGATGTCGTGTGGTAGAGCATGAACCCGATTATACAGGTCACGAGTGTGAAGGAAGGACTTGGGATCAAGGAGCTGCAGCGTCAACTTGTGAGCATGACAGGGCTGCTGACGTCGTTGTAATGGGGTTCGACGAGGTAGCACGAGCAATAGCAGACGGCGTTAGCAGTGGGCTTGCTGGCTGAGGCGTTGAGTACGCTTAGGTTCAGCTTGTCCGACTGTGTAGAAAGGTTTCCTGACGGCTCGAAGAACGTTGGTAGAAGTAAGTGATACTTTCACCGCTCATGCTGCCACGATGCGTTCGCGAGCCTAAGAGAATGTGGTTTCGTTATGGCATCTTGATCCAGTTTGGGGATCCCATACAAACGACCCAAACACCATAACGATCCATGCAGCTTGTACTTATCTCGCCCTCGAGGTGATACACATATGGTTGCACCGAATTGCAAAACGCTCCTCCTACGGCTTCTGCTGATCATCTACGGCTTCTGCTCCTCGGATGTCAACCGAAAGACATTACCGAGTCCACAGTTACGGTGCCACCGGCGTAAACGCCTTGCGCGGCGGATTCAGGGGCGCCGTAATGTGCTTTTTCGACTGGGGCACCGACTGCTTGGCCGTCACCATTTGCTCCATCTTTTCCCGCACACGGCGCGCATAGTGCTCATCCACGTCGTTAAAGTTCTTCAGCGCACGTTCCTGCACTGGTTTCGAGGCATTCACGAGCGAAGTGGCAATGTTGTCCGTCAAACGCTCACGAGCGTCTTCGTCCAGCACCTTGCGGTAAAACACCCGTACTTGCGACAGGTTGTCATCGTAAGCCGACGAGTACTTGTCCACTACCGAATGCTCCCCATCGTACGTGTCGTAGCGCAGCGACTCGTCTTCGACCGGTCCGCCCAAGCTGTTGGGGAAGTACGTGGGTGCCCCATTCAGGTTCCCATTCACCACAAACAACCCATCGCGCTGGTACGTTTGCGGCTCCTTCCGCGGTCGATTCACTGGAATCTGCTGGTAGTTCTTACCCAAGCGGTGACGCAGCGTATCCGGGTACGAAAACAGTCGTCCTTGCAGCATCTTGTCCGGTGACGGCGCGATTCCTGGCACCATGTGCGACGGCGAAAACGCAAGCTGCTCCACGTCGGCAAAGTAGTTGCGCGGGTTCTGGTTCAGCACGAGGCGGCCCACCTCTTGCAGTGGAAAGTCCCCATGAGGCCACACTTTCGTCACGTCAAACGCAAGAAACTTGTGCTCCTTGGCTTGTTCCAAGGTCATGGTCTGGATGTACAACGTCCACGTGGGAAACTCGCCGCCTTCAATGGCTTCAAACAAGTCGCGATTCGCATAGTCGGGGTCAGCGCCAGCCAAGAACGCCGCTTCGTCCACCGGCATGTTGCGAATGCCCTGGTCCGTCTTGAAATGGTACTTGACGTACGTCGTGTCACCCGCTTCGTTGACATTGGCAAACGTGTTGCTGCCATAGCCATTCATAAAGCGATAGCCGTTTGGAATGCCGCGATCCGTAAAGAGCCACGTTTGCATGTGCAGGGACTCGGGCCGCAGAGAGAAGAAATCCCACACCATATTGGCATCTTTCAAGTGCGACACGGGCAATCGCTTCTGCGAGTGAATAAAGCTCGGGAACAGGATGGGGTCGCGGATAAAGAAAATAGGCGTGTTGTTGCACACGAGGTCCCAGTTCCCCTGCTCCGTGTAAAACTTCAGCGCAAACCCACGTGGGTCCCGCATCGTGTCGGGACTGCCCGACTCGGCCGTCACGATGGAAAAACGAGCTGCTACGGGCGTGCGCTTGCCAACTTTCGAAAACATGTCGGCACGCGTGTACTCCGTGATCTCGGGATGCGTCACTTCAAAGTACCCAAACGCTCCACCACCTTTGGCATGCACCACGCGTTCCGGAATCCGTTCGCGGTCGAAATGGGACAGGTGGTCGATCAACTCAAAGTCTTGCAGCAAGAGGGGCCCTGTTGCTCCAGCAGTGGCAGATGCCGTGAGGCCGTAGCGAGGCATGGGGGCGCCATTGCTCGTGGTACAAATGGGTGGGGCCATGACGTTGGTGCTTTCTTGCCAATGCAAAACTGAGCTCTGTCACAGTGTGAGCGCAGACGATGAGGAGAGGTGATGGAGTGAGTACACTGCGACAACCCCAAGCACGCAACGGTCAATCGAAGAAAGCATCGGAAGCGACGAGGACATTCTCTTGCCATTTCTCATCAGTTTCTTCGTGGCTGCCATTTGCATTGCTAACGGGATGGAGGGTACGCCAGAACCGTTAGTTTCGCAACTTGAAGTGAAGAAGTGAAGGATCTTCCGTAGGTAAGAGAGCAAGACTGGCATCCTGGAGGATTGCAAGTACTCTATCGACGATGCAGGCCGAGTCTCTCGTTCCCTGTTGTACAATACAAACGAGCTGCTGTTCTCGCTTTCCATCATGATCATTGCTGTAACGCAGCGACGAAGAGTCTCGCAACACGTAGAGCTAGCGCAGAACATGGCGATTGATTGTGATAGTTATTGTGAAGATACACCAGCAAAAACGTGCAGTTGTAGCAGCAGCAGCAGCGCACATGTAATGTCGACAAAGTGGCTGCAACAACCATACTAACGCAAAAGCCTTTCCATTGATCAACCGGAGTTAACTACTGCCGAAGCAGGCAAACAACGCATCGGAGCAATACATTCAGAGTCGAGGCCAACGACGCGGAGCAGCAACGACCCCGCCGCTCACAACACGCTTGCGAGCAACCACAATCTCGTCACCGTCGCCATCGTCGTCATCGTCGTCATCGTCGCCATCGCCGTCATCGTCGTCGTCGCCGTCGCCATAACCCTGTTCAAGCGCGTCCTTCATGTCTTCACTCTCGACCTCGTCACCACGTAGCGCTAGTATTGACATTGACATCACCATCCGTTCGTGACTCCAATGTACACGTCGTTTTATATCGCTTTACCCACTGGCACTACTACGCACCACGATACAGCCGACCGCGGCGTCGAGGAGCAACCACAACGCCTCTGCTCACGACACGTTTTTTCGCGACCACGAACTCGTTGTCTCCAGTCGTCGCATCACTCGACACTACAACAACCATCTCCGTTGATATCAAGCCTTGCAAGAATCGACTTGCTGTATGTATGCACTGCTGCTACCACCAACCTTCGTTACGATCAACGGTTTCTGAGTGCACCGTGGCAAACAGGAATGCCGCAACGCCAAAGTAGAGGATCTTCATTCGTGTCGCTGGTCCGTGGATACTCGAGATGTGAGCAAGTGTTTGCCGACGCTGTTTGCTTCCAGTTTCGCTGGAACCGTTTCCCCTTTAGCCGAAAGTTCGGTGGCAAGTACCCGTCACTCATCCGGCAAAGCCCATGCAATCCAAGAAATCGGAAAAAGGGGATTCAACGGTATCGACAACGGTGAGGTAGACGTCCCAAGGAAAGGGTGACATATATTGTGTGCGATTTGACGACTAGTGCTAGCTAGTCAACAAACGTTGTCGCGGTCGGTAGAGAAGGATGTGGCCAAAGACCATGTTGGAGATTGGAGCCATCGCGTACAGAGATGCGATCGAGTACCTGGACCAAGTGTTTGATTGTTGTCTTAACGAATGATGAGTTCTGGGTGAGACGTCTTCGACTTACTCTTGAAACTGTTACTCCTTAGATCGGCAACTAATTCGAACTCGTGGAGGTACATGTTGGCATTCTCGTAGACTCTTACTAATTGTTGGCACTAGCGCGTAAATGTTGTAGTATCGGATACTATAACACGAGGAATTTATCTTCCATGTCTATAAAAAAGAGAGACTGATTTACATCTTGATCAGATTTACAAACTCATGAGCATATCGGCGCACGTCTACGTGGAGCTACTCCCAGCAGAGGGCACTGAGGTTTGGGGATAATGACATAAAGGCACTGGGAACTGTTCCGCAGGGTGTGGAGCTGGAGCCTCGCACAAAATTGCGATCGGCAACATCGGTTACGATGGCCTCGTGTGTCGACAAAACAAGCACATGGTAAGCTTTGCAAAGTTGATTGTGGTATTGCAGACAGCAGGTAACTCGATATATGAAGCTATACATCGCGTAACCTTGCCGAGCAGGTTGCTACTCGAGTGCGATTTGATCTCATCGAACACGGATAACTCGAGTGGCGTCAATCTGATCGAAGGGAATTGATACTTGATCAAGGTTTATGAAGGAAAGTGACGATAGGTTGTCGACGAGAACGCAGGTAATGCAACCGCATACGGACGTTAGATCACAATCAGTACATTTGATTAACGTGGCAAAGCTAGCGGTCGCACCGGCAATGCTGAAAGAAAGAC